ACGTTTTAAACCCTTCCCACACTCTTGCAATATTCTAAACAATGTTTCTAAACTCTAAATGCTCTAAATAAACAAGTAAACTTTATTTATGTAGCACTTTTCATAGATATAGATGCTATATCAATAAACTGAATTGAACTGAATTAAAAAAAGCTTGGCAGCTTATGGTAATTTCTGTGTTCAAACCTCAAACCAGGTGTATAAAGAAGTGGTTATGTTTTTATTAAATGGCTAAAATAAACATAAATGTGTTTGTTTTTACCCATCGGGGAAGACAACAGACATGCTGAGTCGGTCGAGCAGAGTTTTCCCTGAAGCGTCAACTTCATCCAGCAACTCCATGTCAACACGTTCCTGCTGCAAGACCTGAAACGTTCAGGAAAACAGAGGACTGATCTCATGAGCACAGCAGTATGTAGTGGTGATGGTGTGATCATACTGGCTGCAGTGGCAAAAAACATGTCAGAAATTCTCCTACCAATATCAAAGGAGGGCGGCCCGTTCCCCCAACAGAACTGCCCACCCCACCAAAAAGATCAGGGCAAATATTAAATTATTATACGTCTGTGCACATGACCACTTTGCAGCTAGAGAAGACAAGTCGATACATCATCACCCACACCCCCCCCCTGAGCAGGGCCCCGACTTCCAGAGACTTTTGTATCAACAAATTAACATTAAATGATGCATTTAGACTAACATCTCAGCATTCACACACTTCTGACCTGCGTGCACGGCTGAACTCCTGTTAGCAGGGAGAGCGTGCAGCCTGTTTGAATCTTGAGGTTTCTGCCACTTTAGTTCTCGGAATTAAAATTTATTAACACTAAAAATTATTTATTTTTATACTCTGGGTTAATACAAATAAGTCTTTAACTTTTTATTCATCTAAGACCCTTACAATGTTCTCTGTGAGACTGTCAGTTTCAAGTGTTTGTACTTTATCATAAATATCTGCAAATGTCAGTTATATTTCATCCCTCCTGACTGCCAGAGGGTGGTGCTGAAAGCACTGAATGTTCCCTCCGCGTATGCGCTGTTCGAGTAATAATACCAACGGAGTCATAGGTGTGACATGGATGACCAATCAGAGGCTATATAACCTGACGTCATCCGCAGCTCTGCTCCTTTTTTCTTCTCGTGCGCGGTTCATCCAGGGCTCCAGCCCTTGGACCTTTTCACCGTCATCGGAGGCCCGACTGCTCGTTGGCCGGAGCAGCGTGTTCGCCCTCCTTGGGACCGCAACGGTTTAGCCTTTGTTCAAGTATTTCTGCTGTTCGTTGGGGACTACGGCGCTTCGGAAGAGGGGGCGTGTCAAAGACACCATCTTAGCACCAACATAACTGGTTTGTTCCACTTTGGAGTAAGCTGTTTGGGGGAAGAATCAGTTTTGTGTTGTGTGTTTCCTTGACTGATGAAGCCTTCTGGATGGAAGGTGAAACGTTTCAGCAAAAAATGAAACTGTCCAGATGACCTGACTGAAAATTGTTAGATAGAATCAACAGCATCAACACAAAACTATAGTTTTTTTCACATTTGATCATTTATTGAATTCACAAATGTTGCCACCCATCCATATAACAAGAGATTCTGGAAAAGTTCTTTGGCAAACCTGACAGAGTTCACTGCACACTTTATAAATAAATCATCCAAGTTATAAAACTATTAAAACTGTTATTAAATTATAAATATATCTTTATAGGCCTGAGCTTCACAAGTCTACCCCAGATTCTTTGGGTGTATTTTAGATAATTTTTTTTTATATGCAGCAGCATATGAAGTTTATTTTCCCAGTAAAAACTAAACTCTGATGGGTTATCCACAGTTTTGTATGGCACGGTCTAGAGTTTTAACTTGATTTATGCTTTTTGGGGATGGGATTTCATTCTAAAAATGTATCCCAGGCCTTTGCATGTCACTGTATTGAGTCTAATAAGTACACATGGACTGGTCATAAGGACTCAAATTAATTGATGATCAATTAATACATGAATACTAATTGAAAATATCAGTAAGCTAAGGAATTATTGTGCTGTTACTGTAAGTGTTAGAAAAGGTAAACCGTCTCACCTTTTCAGTGACTGTGTGAAAGTTCAGACCCAGCTCCAGCCGCCGCTGTCGCTCATCTGCTGTGACGCCGAACTGCTTCCACACCCGGTTGAGTCGTGGCAGAGTGTCGCCAGACGAGCGAGTTGTGAAGCGCAGAGACTGACAGAGCACAATGGTTGCCTGCAGAAGCTGACGTCCATAATCATATGTGCTCTGAAGAAAAAAAAACGTCTTCACAATGAGACTGTCTGTTTTCAAGATTTTCTGGCAGTGTTGATGGCATTTCCTGTACACATGTAATTTTTAGATGAAAACCTTACATTACTTTTTTATATTATAATATAAAAGTATCTTTAGCTCTGAGTAAATAGCTCAATTTAATGATGAAGAGAAGAAAACAATTTGCTGTATGTGACCAAGATGCATTTTTCCCCAGTGTATCATCAGGTTGAGCCTCAGCTGACGCTACATTTACATGGTGAAATGAGTAGCTACATATGAGCATGAGAGCATGAATTAATGTGTTTAACATGAAGTGTCTCACCTGAGCAACATCCACAAACTTCTTGTGTTTGTCCAACAAGGTCCTCGTCTCCTGAGAGTCATCTCCCAGTTTGACATGAGTCTTCAACAAGGCATCCAGCAGCTCACCAAGCCACTCCAATGCCTGAACGGACGTGCGAGCGCACATTCCATCATCATCAGGTTGACACAGGAAGCACTCATAAGTATCTGTGAATGTTTGTGTGCAGGTCTGACCTGTAAAGAGTCTTCTTCACATTTAAACAGCTGGACCATCTGCAGCATCTTCAGCCTCCTCACATCCACCATGTCCTCACACCTGCAAAACACACACACAAACAAACACACACATTTTATTAAGATGGACTCATACTTGGGGAGAAGTGAAGAAATTTGCTCTCTGACATTTCTGCTTCTTGCAGGGTGTCAAGTATTTTGTGGCTGAACTGAACCTTGTAGTTAAGGAGTACGGAGTGTCCATGCAGAAAAGAACGTGACTTTAGCACTTGAGCATGAGTGGACTTCACTTCTTCTGGAACAGCCTTTAGCCTGTGGATCATCCCTTCTTTCTTACGCACCAACAAAAAAAACAAAAGGAAGCTACCTCTGCTTGCGGAGCTCCATCTCCTCCATCACAGCCTGAATATGCTGAACGTTGTCCTGCTGCTCTTCAGGAGGACTCTCCGTTCCCTCGAGGGACCAGGACGAGTGGCTGCACATCTGCTCCAGCAACAGTGCCCCCTTCTGTTGAAGGGAGGTCAGGCCTGCTTCTGCACGGGCGCAATGGACAATGGTCACTAACACAAAACAACTTTAGGAGGAAAATGGGAAGATTTAATATTCAAAACACAAACCAACAGTCTGCAGTTTCTCCTCAAGCAGCTTAAGGTTTTGCTGAATAGAAGCCCCGTCAGCTACAGACACATCAGCACAGAGCATGCCCAGAAGACCATCCAACTGCTGGGACAACTGCAGAGAGAGAGGGAGCTCATTCCCAGCTCATGTCGAGTAGATTAACATTAATTCTTGCTAAACGAGTGACTTTGAGCACTTCATGGTTTTGTTAACAGTCGCATTTGCGTGCAGTTTGTACCTCCTGCGTGGTGCTGTGGAAGGTCTGCGCTGACTGCAACACGTTCTGACGGCTCTCCAGCTGGGATGCCTGTTGGTAGCAAACGTCACTGAGCTGCTGCTGCAGAGCCTTCAGCTCCATCACTTCCTCCTCCTCCCCAGCACTGAGCAGGGCAGCAATCTGCTGGTTCAACTCCACATACATCACAAACCACTCCTGCACACACAGTCACACGAAGAAACAAACATTTTGTTGTTCACTACAGAAAACATCCATTTAAAGATTATTGTAATTGGAAAAAAGTAGTGTTGAACATTATTATGTTTAATCAATTTTAATACAAAATGTTAAAAAAGTTTAAAGATAAGTTCCCAATTGTTGAAAAATACTCAGTTACAAGAAAAATGAATGCCACTTTTGAGTTTGACAAATAAATTAGAATATGAAAACAATTTGCTAGCATTGTTGTTTCACAAATACATCATCTTTCATCAATTGCACAGCTTAATATCTACTGTAATTTCCAGACTATTGAGCACACCAGAATGTAAACCGCGCCCACTAAATAAAAAAAAGAATAATAATGTTGTACATATATAGGCAGTGCTCTTCTAAAAGCTGCAGGTGTCCACGTTGTAACATGAGATATTTACACAGATATTTTAAACTTTTAATCAAATACGTACAGTAAAGTTTTTTTTTTCCTGAACAGAATACAGTAGCCTGCCCAGGCCTGTCACGATAACAAATTTTGCTGGGCGATTGTCTCAGAAATTATTGCAATAAGCGATAATATTGTTTGAAATTTGACAATAATTAGTAACCCTAACCCAAAGAAATGTTGGTAGATTTTTGTGTGTATTACCTTTGTTGACCACCAGATGGCACTATAAGACTGTTCGAAGGATGGATAGTTAGGGAGCGAGCAGCGTGTCTCTTTAAGAAAATTGGAAGGGAGGCCCCTTGGCGTGACATGGGCTGTCTCCTTCCTTTTTTTAGTTCTCAAAATGGTGGACGCTCGGTGTGGTTTGAGCTCTTTAGCATAGCATTTTTCACACAAAGTTTTTAACTAAAAAAAAAAAAATCAGTAAACAAGTTCTCAGCTTCTTTTTACAGAGAAAAGCTTTACACACAAAGGCACAGGTTTAAACGAAGACTTTTGGAGCTTCAACAAGACGGAGGTTTTTTTTTCCCCGAGGTCAGCCTGTTAGCTTAGCTCGTAGCTTAGCTTCTCAGCTGCTTTTAACGATCCAAAAACACTATTTTAGATGGTTAAAACAGATTTTAGAGAGAAAAGAGAAAAGGAGGGGTCAGTGAAGATCACCGGAGTCGAGCCTTTTGTCATCCAGTGTCTTCAGTAGAAAGTGAGAAACAAAGAAACGATAAAGACGATAAATGAAAATGATGTAGACAATTTTCATTTATCATGCGATTAATTGATTTATTGTTTATCGTGACAGGCCCAAGCCTACCAGGAAGTCATTGATCGCTATCTTCATCTTCTTCCTGCTCTGCTGTCAGGATCCACTGGCAGACTTGAGCAAAAGTTGTTCTGTGCAAGCGAGTCCCTCCTCACGGGGAGGGAGGATCCCTCCCCATTCTCTCCTCCCCTCCCCCCTTTCATTGGTCCACTGTGACCTGTTTAATAATTTAATTGGTCAGATTTTTTTTGTTTTTAACCTTTATTTATATAGGTAGTCTCAATGAGTCATGACCCCACCCCACACCCCCAAGAGAGATGTGTATTGGGCAGCTATGTGAGCGCCCGGGTGTGATGAGGCTAAATGTTTTGACAGCATGAAGCTCGCTAGCCCTTCAAAAAAAAAAAATTAATCCATAAATTAGCCGCAGCATTGTATAAGTCACGTGTTCAAAGCGTGTGAAAAAAGTAGCAGCTTATAGTCCTGAAATTACGGTAGACCTAATATAATCTTGTTGAACATCTTCCAGTTATTGAGAGAAACAGTTTCTTAGTAAGACTCCAGGTGCCCTTATGTCAAAACTTCTATACGGCAACTAAGTCTCCAGGGACTGTATCAACTAATGAAATTAAAATAATTTTGTTTCAGGAAACTTTAATCTTAACATATTTTAATTTTTCAGAAGCAGAAATTCAAACTCAGATTTGCATTTTATTTTAAATTTTAGGTCATAAGTTTGTCAGATGGTGTGTGTGTGTATGTGTTTACACTGTGCTGGCTCTCAATCTCCTCATGTTTCTGTTGGAGAGCTTGAGCTGCTCGTACAGAGTCTCCGATCGCTTGATGATACTTCAGCAGTTCTGAACCAGGACCCTGCAGCCAGTTGACCACCTAAAAGAAAAATACAAATTAAAAAACACACAATTAGTATTTTTAATTAATCTGAAAGAGAGGGATGTTATATTTAAAACATCAATACACTCTGATTGAACAAACAAGTTAAATAGTGCTGAGATAAATGTTTAAATAAACTATAAATCCAAAAGAACAAGACACAAACTTCGAGTCAAAGAACAAACAAGAAGTTCAGTTATCATAAATTTGTTTTTCTTTTGTTATATGTCAAAATCTGTTCTGATTAAGGCTTGTTGTTGTGAGCCATGTTGGATTCTGTTAGGATATTTTGATTTCTGCCACAAAACACTTTTAAGAAAAAAAAAAAGGGTTCTAATTTGAAATAGCTTTTTTAACATGCCAATTAATTATCCTAAACCTAACCCTGTATGTTTGTGCATGAACTTCAGAGTGGTACTGTGATAGGATGCCAACTGTGCAGTAAGTCCAGTCAAGAAATTTCCTCTCTGCTAAATATTCCACAGTCAGCTGTTACTGGTATTATAACAAGCTGGAAGCGAGCCACACAGCGGAAGGCCATGTTAAACCACAGAGCGTGCTCAGTGAATGCTGAGGAGCATTGTGCACAGAGGTCACCAACATTCTGCAGTCAATAGCTACAGACCTCCAAACTTCATGAGCTACTCTGAAGGTTTCAAGAACAGTGCACATAGAAATTTGTGGAATGGGTTTCAATGGCCGAGCAGCTGCATCCAAGTCTTACATCACCAATGCAAAGCATCGGATGCAGTGGTGTATAGCACGCCACCACTGGTGTACAGCACGCCACCACTGGTGTACAGCACGCCACCACTGGTGTACAGCACGCCACCACTGGTGTACAGCACGCCACCACTGGTCTCTAAAGTAGTGGAGACATGTTCTCTGGAGTGATGAGTCACGCTTCTCTGTCTGGCAATCCACTGGAAGAGTCTGCGATTGACAGCTGTAAGTGACTGACTACATTGTACCAAGAGTAAAGTTTGGGGGGGTTGTGGTGTGAGGTTGTTTTACAGGAGTTCGGCTTGACTGCTTAGTTCCAGTGAAAGGAACTCTTAATGCTTCATTCAGCATATCAAGACAATTTCATACTCCCAACTTTGTGGGAACAGTTTGGGGATGGCCCCTTCCTGTTCCAACATCACTGTGCACCAGTGCACAAAGCAAGGTCCATAAAGATATGAATGAGTGAGTTTGTTGTGGAACTTGACTGGCGCGCACATAGTCCTGACAGAACACCTTTAGGATAAATTAGAGGAGACTGAGAGCCAGGCCGTCTTGTCCAACATCAGTGTCTGACCTCACAAATGTGCTTTTGGAAGAATGATCAAAGAAGACACACTCCTAAACCTCGTGACAAGCCTTCCCAGAAGAGCTGAAGCTGGAGAGCTGTAAAGAGTGACCACCGTCAGATTGAACCCTATGGGTTCAGGATGTGATGTCACTCAAGTTCATATGCATGTGAAGGCAGTGAATACTTTTGGCAATATAGTGTATATTGTTGAGCATTGGCGCTGCAGGGACAGCTGATCCAGTAGATCCCCCGTTTTTCTTGCATTTTTTAGCTCCCCTCCCCCCCTTCCTTTAATCCCTGTTTCCCTTTTCTCTACTTTTCTGTTTTGTGTGGGTAGTTTAAAAAAAAAAAAAA